TCTTTTTCTCTCTCTTTCTCTTTCTCTCTCCTCTCTCTCTTTCTCTCTCTCTCTCTCTTCTTTCTCTTTTTTCTTTTTGTCTCTATCCTTTCTTTCTCTCTCCTCTCTTTCTCTCTCTTCCTTGCTTTCTCTCTCTTCCTTTCTTTTTGTCTCTCTCTCCTTCTCTCTCTTTCTCTCTCTCTCTCTCTCTCTTTCCTTCTCTCTCTCTCTAAACATCCGAAGCACGGCTGAGAAACATTTGGAAGGAGCGCTCCCTCAACGAAAACAACCCACCCTATCTAATTTCTGCGCTGAACATGCAAAGCTTTCCTTCTTGTCAATCTAATAGGTGTTTGGGGAGTGAGGATCTGTCCAAAGGAAGAAGGGACTAAACCAAAGGATTTAAAAGAGCCGGGCCATCTGCTGCTCCCTCAACTATTAAAAAAACGCCTGCAATGCATCTCTCTCTCTCTCTCTCTCTCTCTCTCTCTCTCTCTCTCTCTCTCTCTTTCTTTCGTTCTTCCTCAAAACAAGCTCCAAATTGGGAAGGGAACTGTTGGGGAGCAGAGGGATCTCCCAATCCTGGCAAACGAACCATTTTCTTCTCTGCAAAGATGCAGGGCCAAAATCCTCTAGGCAGTCCCCCCCCCCCAGCTGCCTGCACACACACACACACACACACACACACACAGTGCCTCAATGCCCAAGACCCATGTCAGGGCCAAGCCAGGAAGCTGTCAGTTCCTATTCCATGCGGGCTGCGGAGCCCTATTAAAACCGCCTTTCCAGGGAAACGAGGTCCACTGTTTCCAGACCCTGGGAAAGGAGAGAGAGAAAGAGAGAAAAAAAAGGGAGGACTCTGCTTCTCTAGCCTTTGAGTTGGACCCTTGCACCGGCTGGGACTCTGAAGGAGGCAAACAAAAGAACTCTGTGGATGGTTTTGGCTGAAATCCACGTCCACCCTTCACAAGGTTGCAGGTCAGCCTCAGCCCCATTGATTCTTAGCGAGTACAAGCTGTAAGAAGCCCTGATTCAGAAGTTTTTTTTTCCCCTCCTCTAATCCCTCCAGATATTCCTGATCCTTCCATGTGTTTCTGCTTAATTATATATATATTTAGATTTCTTTTTGCTGACAAAGAGTTAAAGATTTAAATGGAAGACTAGTATAGCTATTTCGAGAGGGGACGAGAGCTGGTGGCCTGGTGGTTAACACAACTGCCTAGCACAGTGTTTCTCAACCTTGACCATTTTAAGGCACGTGGACTTCAACTCCCAGAATTCCACAGGCAGCAACGCTGCCTGTGGAATTCTGGGAGTTGAAGTCCACATGCCTTAAAATGGTCCAGGTTGAGAAACACTGCTAGCATGTAGACTGCCCAGGTTAGAATCCCATAAAGGGTGTGGCTAGCTGATGAGGACTAATGAGTCCGAAATAGCTATACTAGTCTCCTACTTAAATCTTTCACTCTTTGTCAGCAAAAAGAAATCTGAATTTGTAATGTATCGCAGTTGCGACTTGAACCTGCTTAACGCCCCTAGTTGGGGGGGGGGGCTCCAAGGCAAAAGAGATGATAAAACAGTAGAACTGCAGTATAGCAGTCAAATCTGCTCAATTAACAGGGAATATTCACTCCCTAAGATCAAAGGCAAGGCATGGGGAAGAGAAACAGGATGGCAGAGGGGATCCTGTCAAGCACCTTCAGACGACTGGGCAAAGAGCTAATCAAAGAGAGAAGCAACCTAGAACTAAGGAGAAACTTCCTGGCAGTCAGAACAATTAACCAGTGGAACCGCCTGCCCTCCAGAAGCGGTGAATGCTCCAACACTGGAAGTTTTTAAGGAGAGACTGGACAGCCCTTTGTCCGAAACGGGATAGGGTTTCCTGCCTGAGCAGGGGGTTGGACTAGATGACCTCTAAGGTCCCTCCCAACAGCATCATCATCATCATCATGGATCATCAGACTGGATTTGGCATTTTTTGTCTACCTGTCGAGTCCTTCCCAAGGACCTGGGATAGGCAGATGTGGACGTTTGATGGTATTACAGATATCGTCGCAGGATGGAAGCAGTTTCTAGTAAGGGCGCCTTTTGAAATTGACTAATAGCAAATTTGTCAATGGCAATGGTGTCCAAGTGGTGCTCCAGTTGTTTTGGGATTGCACCCGAGGTGCCTATTACTATTGGAACTACCCTTGCTTGCCTTTGCCACAGTCTTTCTATTTCTATTTGTAGGTCTTTATTATTATTATTATTATTATTATTATTATTATTATTATTATTATTATTATTATTATTATTACTATTATATTATTATTATTATTATTAATAAAACTAGCTTGAAGCATTCAAGCTGTCTCCTCCTTAACTTTGGGTGATCTCAAAAAGTTAAGCAGGGTCATCCCTGGTTATGGTCTGAATGAGAGACAAGCCAAAGATCCCAGGGCTGAGTCCCAGGAAAAGGCATGGACAAGCTACTTCCCTGAAAATGACTTCAATGCCACCCATAAACTGCCATCCCTGCTTTGGAAAAAGGGCAAAGAAGAACAACTAACCCAGTGGTTCTCGACCTTTTTAATGCCACGACCCCCCCCCAACCGGTTGTAAGTCGAGGACTACTCAACCGGTCGTAAGTCGAGGACTACTCAACTGGTGCAGCACCGTTTGCAGAATGGGACTTTGGGCGGGCTCAGCAGGGCAGAGACAGCCTGGACAATTCCTATTGGCTTTGGAAAGCCAATAGAATTAGACTCTATTCAAGAGAGGAGGACTACTATTCAGGAGGACTATTCAAGAGTCGAGGACTACTCAACTGGTGCAGCACCGTTTGCAGAATGGGACTTTGGGCGGGCTCAGCAGGGCAGAAACAGCCTGGACAATTCCTATTGGCTTTCCAAAGCCAATAGAATAAAAGGGAGTAGCACAGCTAAGGAAAAGGGGGGAAAAAATGGCGGACTGCGTTGTTTGGCGACCCCCGTGAAATGGTCATTCGACCCCCAAATGGGGTCCCGACCCACAGGTGGAGAACCACTGAACTAACCTGATTAAAGGCCTGGAGAATGGTGAAGAACGGCTGCAGGAATTGGGAATGGCCAATTCTAGAGAAAAGAAGGATCGGGGAGGGGGACACGATAGCAACATTCCAGTATTTGAGGGGCTGCCACAAAGAGGAGGGGGGTCAACTTATTTTCCAAAGCACCAGAAGACAGAATGGAAACTAACGGATGGAAACTAAGCAAGGGGAGAGGCGACCTGGAATGAAGGACAAACTTCCTAACAGTGAGGACAATTAACCAGTGGAACAGCCTGCCACCAGAAGATGTGGGTGCTCCATCACTGGAGCAGGGGGCTGGACTAGAAGATCTCCAAAGTCTCTTCCAGCATTATTCTGATGGATTAGCTATGTAGACGGCAGGAGTTTGGCTCAAAACTCTACCCGTGAATCATCATCCATCATCGAAACAATGCGCCAAGCATGCAGTGTGTAAGATAAGGACAGCTTTATTGACCCGCTGCTGGACAGAGATAGGCATGGGCCCCCAAGTTCAATGGCCCATCTTCCTTAGCCATGGAATTCAGGGTAAATAAAGAACTGATGCAACCGAGAATAAATGAGCTAAGTTCTGATAAGGCTTCCTTCTTGAGAAGCCACAGCTGTAGATGTTCTTCAGAGGAGGGACCCATTCCTCCTTGTGCATTACTACCAGACGTCATTTCCCAGCCTACCTAAATATTTCACATTGCCTGTTTTCCCTGCAGCTGCGGTTCCTGTGTGTTCGGAATCTGTTTTGGAGAATGAATGCTGGACAATTAATAGCCGCGGGCTTGTTGAGAAGGAACATGTGTAATGTGTAATCCTAGATGCATTTGTTGGGGCAAAGATGGAGGAGGAGGAGGGGAAGGGGGAGGGGGAGGATGAGAAGTAGGAAGGGGGGCTTATTCCCAATTTCAACCACTTGCAGAAAAGAAATCTACCTGCATTCAGAAGGCATTCAAATCCTAGTATTCCGATTGCGGTCATTAAGTCCGAGACTAGCTGCACTCTTATAAAGGTATCCTGTATCAAAATGCTCAGGATAAGTCATTGTTTTTTTTTTAATATATACATATATATTCAATGATGCAATCTTCGATCTCCGGGAAGAGTATACTCCAGTTATTTATTGTTAAAACAACATTTTAACAATAAATAACAACAAATAACTGGAGTATACTCTTCCTGGAGATCAAAGATTGCATCACTGAACAAATATGCCCGGGATTCGTATTTTTATAACCAGTAAGGACATATAATAAATATATATGTTTTCTGAGGTTTTCGCGGGTGTGTGTATGTAGGTCTTTGGTTGTTCGGGTTTTCTCCCGCGTAAAATTGCAAGTGTCTTGGCGACGTTTCGACAAAGTCCCATTCGTCATCTTCAGGCTGGTGCTTTCAGCTTCGTGCTTCGAGCAGCTGCGGGCAGGAGAGGCGGGACGGGGCAAGGGCGAGGCGGTTTTGGGGCCCTCGGTCTCTAAAAGGTTCACCATCACTGGTATAGGATCTCCTGCCTGAGCAGGGGGTTGGACTAGAAGACCTCCAAGGGCCCTTCCAACTCTGCTATTCTGTTAGAAACACAAGGATGGCTAGAAAGCCAAGGGAGATAAATTCTGGCACGACATCCGAGTCTCCAGGAGTGCCGTGACTTCCAAGGGAAGAGATGAACCAGGGCCTGTCTCGACAGATGGAAGGGACCGTGGAGGTCTTCTCGTCCAACCCCCCTGGCCAAGGCAGAAGATCGTGTTGCAATCCTTTCTTGAAGACCTCCAACGGTGGAGGGACCTTCAGGTTCATGCTCCATCCTTGGAGGCCTTCAAGAAAGGATTGGGCTGCCCTTTGACCGGAATGCAACAAGATCTTCTACTTTGGCCAGGGGGGTGGACGAGAAGACCTCCACGGTCCCTTCCAGGCCTGGGATTCTAGATCAGCAGAGCAGAACATCCACAAGGCTTCCTACAGGGAGAAGGAAGAGCAACCTCTGGCTTACCTTAAGATACAGAAGCAGGTCTTGGCCCCCGAGGACAAGCGGCAGAAGCCGAACCTCTGTTTGCTGTCGATATCCGTGAGGACAAAGGTGAAGTTCTGTCCCACCTGCCCCACCGTGAGGCTGGACATGAAAAGAAGGAAGGGGGGTCAGTTAGTAGCCTGTCGCCTTCCGCCTTGCAAAGTCTCTCAGTCAGGGGTGTACGGCTGTGGCAACTTGTGGACTTCAACTCCCAGAATTCCATTCCATTCTTGTCCTCTCCTCCTCTCCCGTTCCCTCCCCTTCCATTCCATTCCTCTCCTCCCCTCCCCTCCTTCTCCTCTCTTCTCCTCTCTTCCCCTCCCCTTCCTTCTTCTCCTCCCCTCCCATTCCCTTCCCTTCTTCTCCTCCCCTCCCCTCCCCTTCCCTCCCCTCCTATTCCATTCCTCTCCTCTCATCCCCTCCCATTCCCTTCTTCTCCTCCCCTTCCCTCCCCTTCCCTCCCCTCCCATTCCTCTCCTCTCATCCCCTCCCATTCCCTTCCCTTCTTCTCCTCCCCTTCCCTCCCCTTCCCTCCCCTCCCATTCCATTCCTCTCCTCCCCTTCTTCTCCTCTCTTCCCCTCCCATTCCCTTCCCTTCTTCTCCTCCCCTCCCCTTCCCTCCCCTCCCATTTCATTCCTCTCATCCCCTCCCTTTCCCTTCTTCTCCTCTCCTCTCTTCCCCTCCCATTCCCTTCCCTTATTCTCCTCCCCTCCTCTTCCCCCCCTTCTTCTCCTCCCCTCCCCTCCCCTCCCTTTCCATTCTATTCTCCTCTCCCCTCGCATTCCATTCCTCTCCTCTCCTCCCCTCCCATTCCCCTCTTCTCCTCTCCTCTCTTCCCCTCCCATTCCTTCCCCTTCTTCTCCTCCCCTCCCCTCCCCTCCCCTCCTCTTGCCTCCCACTCCACTCCACTCCATTCCATTCCATTCCATTCTTTAAGTCCACAAGTCTTAAAGCCATCAAGGTTGGACAGCCCTGCTTTAAACAGAGCTGGCTAAACCACAGCTCTCCTCCATTCTTACAACCACTCCTTTAGCCACTGTTCAAACTTACAACGGCACTGAAAAAAACATGACTTACAACCATCACAGCATCCCCATGACCCTGGAATCAAAGTTCGGTCACCTGCATGTATATTTACAACCACTGCAGCTTCCTGCAGTGATTTGCTTAAATAACCATGACACAAAAAAAGATCCTAAAACTGGGCATGCCTCATTTAATAGCCGCCTTCATTAGGAATGGATATTCTGCTTCCCAGTTGTGGTCGTAAGCCGAGGACCACCTGTATTCCTTTTGTGCCAAGCTTTTTTTCAAAAACCAAAACCAGCCAATAGAAGTTTTTGCTTCAATTTCCTCCCTTGCCACGGTGCAAACAATATTCTTGAGTCACGCTGGGTCCTCTCCTCCCTCACGGAGGAGAAAAAAAAAAAAATCCTCCGAGGGCGGAGTAAAAGGAGAGCAAGCTACGACTGGATGAAAGCAGCGTGCGTACCTAACGGCCCTGTAATTAGTAAAGGATACAACTCCGAGCAGCTTGAGCCCTCTTTCCTAAATAACAGTTTGTTTTATACCAAAGGACGAACCCGATTACTTATAGTCGGAAAATGCAGCGGGGGGAAAATGCATAACGTGTATTTTAATGTCTTTGTGACTTTGCCAGGTCTTTCCATGAATGCCGCCCCCCCAACACACACACACACAGGAAAATTACAGCCCTGAGTTACCCCCCCCCCAGGGGAGACCCCCACTTTGCAAAGGGGGAATTCAAAAGACAAATGCACCCAAGAGGAGCCGGTTGCTGGAGAAAGAATGAACGGCAACTACACAAAGCCTCCGGGTAGGGTTCTTCCCTCCAATACACAACCCCTGCTCGCTTGTCGTCCTCGTCGCAACTCTTGAATGTCCTCCCAAGGAGACACAACGGGGTGGAGCTGAGCAAACCCATCCACCTCAAGCTTTGAGAAGCTTCCCAAGACCAAGCAGCCTTTTTTCACCATGGTGTTCTTCGAGGAACGACCATCTTTCTCAAGTTCTTCAGATGTTCTTCTCCCCCTGCAAAGGTGCAAAGGCTTAGCCTGGACACAGGAGACTCCATTCTTCTGGCCCCATTTAAGAAGGGTCTCCCATCCCTGGCATCCGAGCCTGCCACTTCTTCAAGGTGTGGTGGGCTCCAGAGGCCTTCAACTCTCTGCCCAGGGCGACCTCTATTAGAAGCTAAAGGACTTCAGTTTCAAGATCGAGTGGGTGGAGGGGTCAAGGCACTTGAGGCCGTCTTCCAAACATGGACCTCTCTGTGAGAAGCCACTTGGTCTCACCACCGCTTTCAAGAAGCAGCTCTTGGAGACCCGATGGACATCTGGGTGCCTGCCATTTTAGTGGAGTGTGGGATCTCACGGCCTTCACTTCTCCTGGGTTTTGGAGAGAACAGGCCAAAGGCAAGATCACAGAAATTTGAATTGGGCCACCCCAGAGAAGAGAGACCATTCTTCTCCTCTCCTCTCTCTTTGCTTCCCTTCCCTCTTCTCCTCTCCTTTCTTCTCTTCTCTTCCTTCCCCTCCCCTCCTCTCTCTTCCCTTCCCTTCCCTTCCCTCTTCTCCTCTCCTTTCTTCTCTTCTATTCTCTTCCTTCCCCTCCCCTCCTCTCTCTTCCCTTCCCTTCCCTCTTCTCCTCTCCTTTCTTCTCTTCTCTTCCTTCCCCTCCTCTCTCTTCCCTTCCCTTCCCTCTTCTCCTCTCCTCTCCTTTCTTCTATTCTATTCTCTTCCTTCCCCTCCTCTCTCTTCCCTTCCCTTCCCTCTTCTCCTCTCCTCTTCTTCTATTCTATTCTCTTCCTTCCCCTCCCCTCCTCTCTCTTCCCTTCCCTTCCCTCTTCTCCTCTCCTTTCTTCTCTTCTATTCTCTTCCTTCCCCTCCCCTCCTCTCTCTTCCCTTCCCTTCCCTCTTCTCCTCTCCTCTCCTTTCTTCTCTTCTATTCTCTTCCTTCCCCTCCCCTCCTCTCTCTTCTCTTCCCTTCCCTCTTCTCCTCTCCTTTCTTCTCTTCTCTTCCTTCCCCTCCCCTCCTCTCTCTTCCCTTCCCTTCCCTCTTCTCCTCTCCTTTCTTCTCTTCTATTCTCTTCCTTCCCCTCCCCTCCTCTCTCTTCCCTTCCCTTCCCTCCTCCCCTCCCCTCCCCTCCCCTTCCATTTAAGAAGAAACACCTGAGCAGGAACATTTATTTATTCCACCTTGTCTCCCTCTTATTGACTCTCCCTGCCCCCATATGGACACTTAACCCCAGTGCTGGCAGCGACCCACACAGATTTTGACATAAGCTTTTGCAGCAGGATATCAATGTCACGAAGGATATCAATAACGAAGAGAAGGCAAAGCGTGATTGACAAGAAGAAAGACAGATAAGAAACAACGGAAATCACACACACACATACACACACCCCAATTTGGGCAATGATGTTCTCAAGGAGGAAATTCAAAGCTCTATAAATTCATTGCAATTCGCCAGATTTGCAGAATTACCCACAAAACAACAACAACACCCCGCAGTTTTAAAAAACGACACGATGTTAACAGCAGAATGGAAATAACGTTGGAAGACAACTTCGTGGAACATCGTGGTGGATCTGACAGAAGCTTCTGACCTGGCTGTGGCTGATTCATGATTATGATTAAAACATTTTTTTTTATTCATTTCTAATCTAAAATAAAAAATGCTAAAAGAAAATAGTAGAAGAGATAGGGAAAGAGAAGGCCGTGACTTCTGACTTCTCCTTGGTGCAGAATAAGATAATGACATCAAACCTCAACTTTTTTTACTTTTCTATAATAGTATGAACTAGCCATTTCTTTCACAACAAACCTATCTAGCCGGTAAAACCCAAAAAGTCAAAGTTTCATTTCTTTTCCCCACCTCAAGCAAAAAGTCCAGAAGTGGTTTCCAAGTCGCGACGAAAAGTGATTGTGTTCTGTTTTTTTAATCAAAGCACTCAGTTTAGCCCAGTGTTTCCCAACCTTGACAATTTTAAGGCATGTGGACTTCAACTCCCAGAATTCCACAGCCAGCAATGCTGGCTGTGGAATTCTGGGAGTTGAAGTCCACATGCCTTAAAATGGTCAAGGTTGAGAAACACTGGTTTAGCCCATCAATTTTTGCAGCCCTTCGTCCACGGTGGGGATCAAAGGATCCTTCCGTTTTTGTACATAAAGTAATCGATTAAAACTTTTTTTAAAAAAAAACAAAACACTCCACTAAAGATCCTTAGGAAAAAAAGAAAAGGCACTATTTTAAAAACCGGTTTGGACGACACGCTCTTTATCAGCCGGCCCAATTTTATTTACGTCGTATTTATTTATTTTTTTCCCCTTTCTGATAACGTTTAGGAATTCAGCCTTACCTGTCCACGTAGAAAGGGAAGCAGAACCGGGCCACCGTGGGCAGAATTTCCTGCGGGGAGAAGAGAAGGGGGGGGGAGGAGGAGAAGAAGAAGAGAGATAATTTAATCATCGAAAGGGACCAATAAATCTAATGTTAACCACGGAAAGACAGTCTTGCAACTCTGCCCCGGCGCAGAAAACCGGAGACAAGATGAGGAGAAATATGCTTTATCAATTACACACCAGAAGAGCCCGGCCAGTCAATCATGGGAAAGAACAAACATGATCAAACTTCATTAAAAATGAAAAATTAATCAAGATTCACACATGGGCAAGCAGCAGGGCCTCCCCGTGGCGGCCCTGGGAAGGAGGGGGGGGACGGGGATGGCCTCGTGCTAACTCGCCTCCGGGGAGGCTCTCCGACCCCGCCAGATGGAGAACAGCAAGGCCACCAGGACCAGCCAGCTGGATCTTTGGCCTGCTCCTTCTCCCCCTCCTCCTGCTCCTCTTCCTCCCCCTCTTCCCTTTCCACTGTTCCTCCTCCCCCTCCCTCCTCTTCCTCTTCCATCTCTATTCTCCTCCTCTTCCTTCTCCTCCTCTTCTTCCCTCCTCCTCCTCCTCGCTTTCCACTGTTCCTCCTCCTCCTCCATCGCTATTCTCCTCCTTCTCTTCTTCCTTCTCCTCCCTCTTCCTCCTCCCTTTATACTATTCCTCCTCCTCCATCGCTATTCTCCTCTTCTTCCTCCTCCTCCTCTTCCTCCCCCTCCCCCTCCTCCCTTTCCACTATTCCTCCTCCTCCTCCTCTTCCTCCTCCTCCATCTCTATTCTCCTCCTTCTCTTCTTCTTCCTTCTCCTCCCTCTTCCTCCTCCCTTTATACTATTCCTCCTCCTCCATCGCTATTCTCTTCTTCCTCCTCCTCCTCTTCCTCCCCCTGCCTTTCCACTATTCCTCCTCCTCCTCTTCCTCCTCCTCCATCTCTATTCTCCTCCTTCTCTTCTTCTTCCTCCTCCTCCCTCCTCCTCCTCCCTTCCTCTTCACTTTCCACTATTCCTCCTCCTCCTCCTCCCGCTTCTCCTCCCTTTCAACTATTTCTCCTCCTCCTCCATCTCTATTCTCCTCTTCTCCCTCCTCTTTCTCCTCCTCCTCCTCCTCCTCTCCTTCTTCCTCCTCCTCCCTCCTTCTCCATCTCTATTCTCCTCCTCCCCTTCTCCCTCCTCTCTCTTCCTCCTCCTCCTCCTCCTCCTTCTTTTCCACTATTCCTCCTTTTCCTCCATCTCTATTTCCTTCTCCTCCTCCCCCTCCTCCTCCTCCTCCTCCTCCTCTTCCCTCGTATCCTAGGAACCAGGTTGGCTGAGAAGCGAAAAGGCTTCTCCAACAGAGCAGAGCCTGCATGAAGGCCAGAGCTGTTCTCACGATCCCGGTCCTCCCGCCACCAGGGCACGGGGATGTCCATGGAAGGAGTTTCACCGTGCAAAAAAAAAAAAAAGGTGCCCAGAAAAGGTGACATATAAGAAATTGCCTTGTGGGGTTGAAGTCTACTTTAATCAGCAGACGTCACTGATGTCTTCTTCAACACTTTAAAAAGAAGTCCTTTTTTTTAACAGGTTTGGGGAGCTGAAGGTTTGGACACAGTCTTCTCAAAAAGCATTTCCTTGTGGGAGGTTGGATCCTCGGAAGGGAAGGATTGTCTCTGTGTAGAAACTTTTCTACATATCTTCCTCTCTCTCCTTCCTTCCTTCCTTCCTTCCTTCATGCATTCATATTTCCTTCTTTCCTTCCTTCCTTCCTTCCATCCTTCCTTCCCTCATTCCCATCTCCTTCCTTCCTTCCTTCCTTCCTTCCTTCCTTCCTTCCTTCCCTCATTCCCATCTCCTTCCTTCCTTCCTTCCTTCCTTCCATCCTTCCTTCCCTCATTCCCATCTCCTTCCTTCCTTCCTTCCTTCCTTCCTTCCTTCCTTCCCTCATTCCCATCTCCTTCCTTCCTTCCTTCCTTCCTTCCTTCCTTCCTTCCTTCCTTCCTTCCCTCATTCCCATCTCCTTCCTTCCTTCCTTCCTTCCTTCCATCCTTCCTTCCCTCATTCCCATCTCCTTCCTTCCTTCCTTCCTTCCTTCCTTCCTTCCTCATTCCCTCTTCCTCCTTCCTTCCTTCCTTCCTTCCTTCCTTCCTTTCCTTCCTTCCTTCCTTCCTTCATTCCCATCTCCCCTTCCTTCCTTCCTTCCTTCCATTCCTTCCCTCATTCCCATCTCCTTCCTTCCTTCCTTCCTTCCTTCCTTCCTTCCTTCCTTCATTCCCATCTCCTTCCTTCCTTCCTTCCTTCCTTCCTTCCTTCCTTCCTTCCCTCATTCCCATCTCCTTCCTTCCTTCCTTCCTTCCTTCCTTCCTTCCTTCCTTCCTCATCCTTCATTCCCATCTCCTTCCTTCCTTCCTTCCTTCCTTCCTTCCTTCCTTCCTTCCTTGCTTGCTTGCTTTCCTGCTCTCATCTTTTTCCTCCCTCCCTCTGTTCCATCCATCCACTTTTTCCTCTCTCCCTCCATTTGTTCCTTCCTTCCCTTTCTCCCTCTCTTTCCTTCCCTTCTTTTCCTCCCTCCCTCCTTCCTACTTGTCTTCTTTCCTTCCCTCTTCTCCCCCTCTCCCTCGCTTCCTCCTTTCCTTCCCTCCCTCCCTCCCTCCCCTTCTTTCCTTTCTTTTCCTCCCTCCCCTCCTTCCCTTCCCCTTCCTTCCCTCTTTCCTTCCTTCCCTTCTTTTCCTCTCTCCCTCCTTCCTACTTGTCTTCTTTCCTTCCCTTCTTTTCCTCCCTCCCTCCCTTTTCCTTCCTCCTTTCCTTCCTTCCTTCCTTCCTTCCTTCCTTCCTTCCCTCTTTCCTTCCTTCCCTTCTTTTCCTCTCTCCCTCTCCCTCCCTTTTCCTTCCTCCTTCCTTCCTTCCTTCTTCTCTCCCTTCTTTCCTTCCTTCCCTTCTTTTCCTCTCTCCCTCCTTCCTACTTGTCTTTCCTTCCCTTCTTTTCTTCCTTCCCTCCCTCCCTCCCTTTTCCTTCCTTCCTTCCTTCCTTCCTTCCTTCCTTCCTTCCTTCCTTCCTTCCCAAAACCAACCTTAGCACACTTGTTAAATTGCACATTGATTTACATAAGACAGAGCCCTTTCCAAACCAGTAATAATAAATGATGTGCTCATGGATGCTGCATGCTTCATTTCTTTTTAAATTCACTCCCATTATTTAACAAACAAGCCACATCAATCTAATTGTCCATTTAATGGAGCTGAAAACATATTGACTCTCTTGGCCAACCCGCCCACCCCAAACCAGTCAGTCAGGTCTGGCCCATTCCTTCACGCTTGCAAAGTCAAATGCTCCCCCTCAGATGAGGGGGGGGAGTTCCAGAGGCAAGGGGGGGGGGAGAGAACTGGCCACGCTAAAGGACCTGGGCTTTAACGAAATATTTAAAACAAGAAAAGGGTGGAGGAGAAAAGGGAAAGGGGCGGGTTTCCTAAGAAAATTGGCCCTTGCAGGGTTCATAATTCCTCTTTAGGAAAACAAGAAGCGGATTTAGACAGCAGAAGAGTGAAAGGATTTGCTTACTGCTGCTTGCAAAATGCATAGAATCCAGTAAAACCAAATCTATTACCCCGGCATTTGGTCTCCCCACTATAAAAAAGACGTTGAGACTCTAGAAAAAGTGCAGAGAAGAGCAACAAAGATGATCAGGGGACTGGAGGCTAAAACATATAAGGAACGGTTGCAGGAATTGGGTATGTCTAGTTTAACGAAGAGAAGGACCAGGGGTGTTCCAAAATCTCAGGGGCTGCCCCAAAGAAGAAGGAGTCAAGCTCTTCTCCAAAGCACTTTCTGAAGGCAGGACAAGAAGCAACGGATGGAAACTGATCAAGGAGAGATTCAACCTGGAAATAAGGAGAAATTTCTTGACAGCGAGAACAATCAACCGACGGAACAGAAGTTGCCTTCAGAAGTTGTGGGAGCTTCACCACCAGACGCTTTCAAGAAGAGACTGGACTATCATCTGTCAGAAATGGTGTAGGGTCTCCTATCCTAGACCAGGGGTAGGCCACCTTGGCTCTTTTATGACTCGTGGACTTCAACTCCCAGAATTCCTGAGCCAGCCATGCTGAGGGGAAAGGGAGAGGTTTCCAAGCTGAGCCGTGCTGGTTCAGGAATTCTGGGAGTTGAAGTCCACAAGTCATGAGGGGGCCATAGTTCCCCCGTGCTGGCTCAGGAATTCTGGGAGTTGAAGTCCACGAGTCATGAGGGGGCCATAGTTCCCCCGTGCTGGCTCAGGAATTCTGGGAGTTGAAGTCCACGAGTCATGAAGGGGCCATAGTTCCCCCATGCTGGCTCAGGAATTCTGGGAGTTGAAGTCCACCAGTCATAAAAGAGCCAAGGTTGCCTACCGCTGCCCTAGACCATTTCAGATTGGATGGTTGTCCAATCTCTTCTTAAAAATCTCCAGCGACGGAGAACCAACAGCTTCTGGAGGCAGGTTGTTCCACGGCTAGCCGTCCTCACTGTCAGGAAATTTCTTCTTAATTCTCGTCTGCTTCTCTCCTCAATGAGTTTCAACTGAGCATCGCTCCTCCTGCGTTACCATTTCACATCCCTGGTCAGCAAACGAAGGAAAGGCTATTTTCCTCGGTTGAACAACTTGCGTTTGCTCGAATCCAGCCCAGCGCCAAGTGTATGCTTTTTAATTTTTATTTATTTTTACACGCGGTTTCGCGCGTAACATTTTAATGAGCTCCGGAGGTGACGCGAGACAGGGAAAGAGAAATCCATACCGGGCAAGTCGCTGCCCTTGAAGCACAAAACGCGAGCCGCTGTCCCCCAGGATCCAGCCCTACCGTCTCACCCCTGGCCCTCAAGATATTTGCCACCTGGTTCTAAGCCCGTTCCCCCCCCACCCCACCCTGCCCGCTGCCCCTTCTCTGGTTCCTCTTCTTTTCATAAACAAAACACCGCTGACATTCTAATCCCAGATGGGTCTTCTGAAAACCCTTCCCATCGATCCCGCGGACAACGGATTGGAGACATCGATTGGGCTGGGTTTCGGCACCAAAGTT